TTAACAGAGATGTTAGTTCAGATATCTTCCCTGTCTGGAGGTTGTCATTGGTCATGTGTGCGTTCGTGTGTGTTGGAGGAGGGGCTCTGTGAGGAAGTCTGAAGGAAGAGGCAGATTTATTCCGGCTGCGTACTTTCAAACTCTAGAGCACTCGAGCTGGTTTCTCCAAAATTACCTACCCCGCCTTCAAAGACTAATTTTGTATGTAGACAAAATGGAAAATCAGCCAATAAGTAGATTTGTTTTCCATTATTGGTCTCCATGTTTTTATGCACCATAACATGGACAATACTTGGTATTAATCTTTTTTATTTATTTAACATTGCTGTTCATTAAACTCTTGATTAGCACTTCCTTCTCTTGACCTGCCTTTCTCTCTGCCTCTCAGTTCTCCCCGTGACCTTCAGGCAGAAGCTGGGGAACGTGCAGGTGGAGGAGGGTCAGAGCGTGTCTCTGAGCTGTGAGCTCTCTAAGGCGGGGGTCTCGGTGCAGTGGAGGCTGGCTGGAGATCTGCTGCAGAGCGGGGAGAAGTTCCAGATGAAGCAGCGCGAGGCCTGCGTGGAGCTGACCATCAGAGAGGCCGAGCCCGAGGACAGCGGCGTCTACAGCTGCGTGTGCAGAGAGCAGAAGACCAAGGCCACCGTCAAGGTCATCGGTGAGTTTAAATCAAATCAGTGCAGGAAAACCCACTCTCTAGTTTCTTCGTTTTTCAGTTTGGCAACAGGTTTGCCATTATCGTGATAACTCAGGAACGCCTGGAGGGAGTTGCTTCAAATTTGGCACACATATCCTGCTTGGTTTATTTTTGTATTCATTTAGTTCACACACACACCTCATTAAGTAGGCTCCATTTATAAAGTACTTTTGAGGGTGTGGCAGAAACCTGTTATTCCTCATAGACACAATTGTTGGAGTAAAGTGAATACAGAAGAAATTACATTATATGAGTTTTTAATATCAATATTTATTTCCCAAATCAAATGTTTTTGACAGCATTTTCAAGTCTCATTTGGAGGTCAAAGGTCACAGGCAGCCACATTGGTATTATACAGTGATTTATATATTCTATAGAATGAGAACATGTTGATTACATATACATAACACTACAGTTCACACAGTGTTGTATTTAGAGTCCTTGTCATATAAAAACAAATATTGAAGTTAGTTTTATATAGAAGAAGAATAATTTATTTTTAAACCAGAGATGAAATAAATAGAGTTTGGAGGCCAGATATCAAAAGTCTCTTGTGACTTTACAAAACACACCCAGGGTCAGAACACATTTCTACTAGGATAAAATAACAAAGATAGGACATTTTGAAAAGATATACACTTCATCTTGATTGGTTTACAGAGGCACCCAACCAGTCGAGTTAGAAGTGTATTGAACCACCTGTAAAATGCCTCTTTAAAGATCTTCTTTTTGCTCTCATGTTGAATCAGGACTCTGTGTTTTGTTCACCCAGCGGTTCCCGCCACATTCAGAGTGAGTCTGAAGGGTGTGGAGGCGGAGGAGGGCAGCAGTGTGACTCTTCGCTGCGAGCTGTCCAAGAAAGGCGCCCCGGTGCAGTGGCAGAGAGACGCTGAGCTGCTGTCAGAGCTCACAGGTCGAGGGAAGTTTCAGATGAACCATGAGGGGAAGGTGGCTCAGCTGACTGTCCTCCACGTGCAGCCAGAGGACGCAGGGAGGTACAGCTGCTCCACAGGAGAGGAGAAGACCTGCGCCGAGCTCAGAGTCAAACGTGAGTGTGAAGAGAAGAAGACTGAAGAGGATAACTCCGTTTATATCTCTGGACCATATTAGCTTGGCTGTAAAACTATGTGTTTTTAACTCTTAACCTTTTTAAAAACAGTTCCAGTTAAAGTGGGACATTTCAGTCAGACAACTCACGTGTTTCTTAATGTTTATTATAGCAGCATATAGTTTGAGTTTGGCGTCTAGGCTCGGGCCTCATCACTCCACAGATTTACAAAGAACATTGAGTGATGATTAGATAACTATCCCCCGAGCCTACAGGTGGAAGCTGGGGGGTGGTGGTGGGGCAGGGAAGCAGCAGCAGCAACATGAAACACAGCAGCAGGAACATGAACGTAGCAATAGCAAGTGAACACAGCAGCAGCAGCAGCGAGGCAGAGGCAGGAAGACCTGGCGGCTTAAATAGAGCGGCATGTTTAGGACAATGTGTTTGGTTGGTTGTAAGAGGGACGAGGTGCGTCACGTGTTAATGTAGAATAGAATCGTTTAATGTCATTATACATGTACAATGAGATAATAAATGCTTCTCCCTTTCAAGGGTGCCATCAAAACAAAAAAACATCACAACATAAGACAACGAATACACGCAGCATACATACTTAGGAATAAGGAATTAAGGAATAAGGAAAGTAT